CGAGCTTGAGACTATTTCAGGCCTCTACGCCTCTTGGGTGTCAGCTGTCGAATCCACAATCACTTCTCATCATGGAGTGGACCTGCCACGAGGCCCTTCGAGAGCCACGGGGCCCAGGTTCACAGTGACCACGGTGAGGCTCCCGCAGAAGGTACGCGCGACACCTTTGCGGGATCAGGTCAGCGGGTGGTGGACACAAGTCAACGTGCTGCTCGCAGGCCTCGTGTTGCACAGGACGAAGGACAATGGTGCTCTGCAAGTCGAGCGCTACGTGCAAGGCTGTGTACGCCACCTGGCTGATCGGCCTGAGCATGTTCAGCGTGTGCTCCTCGACGGGCGTGACCCCCCATGGTCGGAGTGGGAGAGGGTTCTGAGCAGTGCGGGCGAGGTGGTCACACCGGTGCTCGCGAGCTTTGAGGACAGCTCCAGGAGGATCATGGGGAGAGCCCAGCGCAGAGCAGTTCAGGAAAGTGTCAATGAGTTCAAGGATTTCAAGGGTGAGGATGGTGCCGTGGGAGCTCTACACAAGGCCCTCAATCCTCAGGCTCTGCCGAGCCTGGACACGGTTCTTGAAGATAGAGTTCTTTTTTCACCCACGTGATATGATAGATCACAAAGCTAAGTTATGGCACGACTTGTGGGCACCAGCAGCTTTGGACGAAGACGAAATCTCTTGGACCTTCGCCAAGATTCAAGCTGCTGCTGCCACGGAATCCTTGCCAGATATTTCAATTTCGGAAGTGAGAGGTGCTCTTCGCAAGATGAAGGGACGTGCTGGCATGGGGGTGGACATGCTTAGTCCACTCGACTTCGAGCGCCTCCCCGACGAGGCGCTCGCTGAGCTGGTGTTGTTGTATCAAGCTTGCGAGTGCCATCTTGTATGGCCAGGCCAGATCCTCCTGATTCTAGGGCGCTTATTGCCTAAGAAATCAAATGGAGATCGCATCATAGGTCTAGTTTCGATGGTGGGCAGGCTGTGGAGTCTTATCCGTGAGCCATACGTTCGCAGCTGGTCAGCATCGGCAGAAGCTCACTGGGACGCAGCTATCAGGGGGAATTCGAGCCTCCGCGGGGCCTTCGTGCGGGTGTTGCAGCAGGAAGTGTCCCATCACCTTGGAGCTGCCACGGGCGAGGCCCTCGTTGACATTCAGTCGTTCTACGACTCCATCGAGTGGGCGACGCTGGCCTCCTGTGCGCTGGCGCTCGAGTTCCCGCCGCAGGTGCTGTACCTGGAGCTGTTGCAGTGCGTCGCAGCTCGCTCGTTGAGCCAGCTTGGCGCATCGACGCGGGCTTTTCAGCCATCGCGGAGCGTGGTCCAGGGCCTCAGGGCTGGAACGCGTTTCGCCAAGGCCATGACCCACTACGTGCTGGAGGTCATCACAGTCGCCCATCCGAGCATGGGGTATCGCATCTGGATCGACGACTTGTCCCAGTCAGTTCGGGGATCGCGAGCAGCTGTGCGTAAAGAATTGGCGGCATGTGTCATCAATACTTGCGAGGGGCTGAGAGCCAAGCAGCTGAAGGTCGCGTCCAAATCAGTTATCATCTGTTCGTCGTTCCAGGACGCTCAGTGGGTTGCCAGGCGAGTGGCCCGTGCAGGCTACTCTGTGCAGCCCGTCAAGCAGGCCACCTGCTTGGGGGTCGACCTGGGCGGGGGCAAAAGGATGGCTCGCGAAACGAGGGTAAATAAGGACGCCAAGCACAAGGCCATGAGTGGCAAGGTGCGTCGGTATGCGTTCGTGTCGAAGAAGTATCGGGTAACGGGAAGGCTCGAGAAGCAGGGGGCGCAGGCGGCAGGGGTGTACGGGCACCAAGCCTACGGCACTTTCGGCGCCAGGATGACGCAGGCTCAGCGGCGCCTGGATCAGGCGTTGGCGGCGCCCACGCGGGGCCGCTGCCTGACCACGCTGCTGGCCCTGCGAGCTGGGGATCTTGACCCTGCGATCAAGCTACCAGTCGAGACGCTGGACTTGTGGCTGCGGACCTGGAGGGAGCAGCCCGAGTTGCGAGCAGGTGTGCGACAGGCGTGGGACAACGTCTACAAGCACATGCAGGAGCTACCAGCCGCGCAGCGAGTGCGCCATGTGAGGGGCCCTCTCACGGCCACCGTCCTGCACCTGATGGAGGCAGGCTGGGACCCACAGCAGGCCACATCATGGGATCTTCCTGATAGCCACCCTGCCGCTGGGGACACATGGAAGTTCGACGATGACATGTACTCGGGCATTGCAGCATTGGGCTCGCACCTGGGCTTCATCATGGACTTCAAGCAGACCCTGAAGCACGGCCTGTGGCAGAAGGCGGGCCAGCACTTCTGCGGGGCTGGCCTGACCCAGGGCGTCGACTGTGTGTCATGCCAGATCTTGCTGCAGCAGCTGGCAGCGGTCCCAGTGTACGGCCACCGCTTGGCGGAGGTCACGCTGGCATGTGCAGTGGGAGGTTGCTGGCCGCGGCAGCGCAAGAAGAAAGAGCTGAGCAGGTACACGGGTGATGTTGTGTGTCCGCGATGTCGGACAGCACCAGAAGACATGATGCATCGGATATGGTTATGTGAAAGCAACGTCGAGAAGGATGCGTACACTGAGTCGGACGATCTGATCCCGCAGGCTCTCGCGCAAGGCGAGGCCGACCAGGGCTTCTGGCTCCGTGGCCTCACCCCAGCGCCCTGGGCAGAGGTGCCGCCGCCTTGTGATGCTGAGGTGTGGGTCGGCACCGAGGAGCTGTTCGGGGAGGCTGTGGTTGAGGGTTGTGTCGCGGGAGGATCGGAGCAGGCGCCGCTTTTTGCTTTTGGAGATGCGAGCGGGGGGCCAGACACGGCCAGCCCGCTCTTCAGACGTGTAGGTGTCGCTGTGGCGTTCATGCATGCTCTAGAGCCCCAGCTGCAGTTAGCCTCGACTGTCAGAGGCCCGCTGACGGGGCCCAGACAGATCGTTGCTCGAGGCGGGTTGCGTGCTTTGCTCTTGGCAGTCTGGATGACCACAGGCTCCATCGTTTTCATTTCGGATTGCGAATCGGTAGTTTCAGGATTTTATTGTCGCAAGTTCGAGGCGCCCACAGGCGAGGGCGCCGACCTCTGGGCGCGCCCGGGCAGTCTGCTGAGAAAGAGGTCCCAGGACGCCATCACCGTCCTTTTTGTCAATTCACACCTGTCTGCCACGGACATCGTCGAAGGGAAGGCTCCTCGGTGGATGGTGGCAGGCAACCTGATAGTGGGCGAGATCGCTGGACAGGCGGCTCGTGAAGCCCGCTTGGCAGAGGCGGTCCGTAATAGGGTGCTGCTACAGGAGAGGAAAGCTCGGCTCGTCAGGATGCGCATTCTGCGAGCCACTCTCGACTCCATGGCGGCTGAGGATAAGGAAAGGTGTGCTGAGGAGGAAAAAGGTCCTGCCGTCCCTCCCCGTCCTCCGCCTCCTGCTGCTGCCTCTCTCGCCCTTCTTGCCTCGTCCCATTCTGTGGACGGCACAGGGTGCAGGTGCACCAGGTGCGGAGGATCGGCGTCGAAAGCGACCCGAACGGAATGGCTCAGGTCCCCATGTTTCTCCCTGATCAATTATAATGGCGTTTTCTTTCGGAAACCTCCGGGCGCGTTGTTGCACATCGCGGGTGGCTATGTTCACTCCAGTCATCGAATGCAGTTCCATGGTGATTTGAAGTTGTGGTATTGCGTCGGCTGTGGCAGCTACGGATCACAGCAGCTCCTGGCCCTGGGTCGCGTGTGCGTGACGCCTCCCACCCCGCACAGAGCCGAGTATCTGCGGTTGATCTCCCAAGGCTCGTGGCCAAAGGTCTTGAGCAAGGCTGAGAAAGCCACCAGGCGCAAGCGTAATGTATAGCGATGTGGAGGATTCACTGACTTAGTCATATGGTCATGCTCATGCTCATGCTCCTCCTCCTCCTCCTCTTCCTCCTCCTCCCTGCGTCTCATCCTCATCCTCCCCACGTTTTCTTTTCCTCTTTCGCCCTGCGCTTCCTCCTCCTACTCTTCATCCGTCTCCTCCACATCCCTCCTCCTCCTTCTCCTCCTTCTCCTCCTCCTCCTACCCTCCTCCTCCTCCTCCTCCTCCTCCTCCTCCTCCTCCTCCTCCTCCTCCTCCTCCTCCTCCTTCTCTCCTCTTCGTCTACCCTCCTGCTCCCCTCCTCCTCCTCCTCTCCTCCTCCTCCTCCTCCGTCGCTTCCTCCTCCTCCTCCTCCTCCTCCTCCGTCGGACTTCCTCCTCCTCCTGCTTCTCCGCCTCCGCATCCTCCTCCTTCCGCGTTGTTCTCCTTCCACCGTTCCTCCATCCATAGCCGTTTCTACCCTCTTTTCTCTTCCGGTTTCTCTTTATCCTCCTCTTGTCTCTTCCTCTCCCTTCGCTCCCTTCGTTCCCTCCTCCGTCTCCCTCTTCTCTCTCTTCCCCCGCCTCCTTCTCCTCGTCGTAGTCGTCGTTGTCCGCCTCGTTCGTTCCTTAGTAGCCTTCTACTCCTTCACCTGCTCGTCCTCCACATCCTCCTTCCTCCCTCCTCCGCCTGTTCAGCCCTCTTCCTCCTGCGACTGCTCCGCCTCCTCGTCCGTCTTGTCCTCCTCATATGCCGCCTCTCCCCTGTTACTGCTCGTGATGTTGCTCCTCCTGATGGTTTTCAGCCGCCACCTCCTTCTGCTCGACCTGCCTCTCCTCTCCCCTCTCATCCTCTTCCTTCCTCCTCCTCTTCCTCCTCATCCTGCTCTTCCTCCTCATCCTCCGCCTCTTTGCCCTTCTCCTCCCATGGCTTCATCCTCCGTCTACTTTCTCCCTTCCTCCAACACTCTCTCCATGGTCATTCTTACCCCCTGCCTCCCTTCATCGTTTCCTGCTCGTCAGCTTCATCATATTATCCATCCTCCTCCTGCTCCCTGTCCTTCCCTTCTCCCCCTCCTCTTCTCCCCCTTCTCCTTCTCCTCCTCCTCCTCCTCCTCCTCCTCCTCCTTCTCTCCTCCTGTCCTTCTTCTCCTCTCTCCCTTCAGCCCCCCCCCCCCCCCCGAAGGAAGCGCTGCGCAGAATGCTCAAGGACCACACCGTCCGAGAGGTCACGACGGAGCTGCGGGGGGTGCTCGCCAAGGCCCGCCACCCGGCCGAACGCCCTTCGTCGCCGACGAAGGAGAATACGCCCGAGCAAGATGTTGATGTTGATGCTATGGATGTTGGCGAGCGTTATGCTACTGATGATTGCGGTGGTGACGATGTTGATTTCGATGTTGATGTGGACCCTGGTGACCATGATGGTGGTGGTGGTGCTGGTGGTGGTCGTGGCGATGATGATGATGATGATGCTGATGATGCTGATATTGATGATGATGGTGATGATGATGACGATGCTGATCATGCTGATGCTGATGATAACGATGATTATGATGATGATGGCGATGATGATGCTGATGGTGGCGATGATGATGATGCTGATGATGATTATAATGCGTATGATGCTGCTGATGTTGACGATTATGCTGATGCTGATGATGATACTGGTGACTCTGATGACGATGGTGCTGCTGCTGATGATCATGTCCATGGTGATGATGTTGATGCTGATGATGGTAAGTACGAATGTTATGACGACGATTGTGATGACGGTGGTGATGTTGATGCTGATGTTGCTGCTGTTGCTAATGCTTCTGCTGCTGCTGATGATGATGCTGATCATGATGATGATGATGCTGATGATGATGATGATGATGATGATGATGATGATGCTGATGCTGATGCTGATGCTGATGCTGATGCTGATGCTGATGCTGATGCTGCTGACGATGATGATGCTGATGCTGGTGCTCATTATGATGCTGATGAGTGTGATGCTTGATGCTGATGATGATGAGGCTGATGGTGATGGTGATGATGATGATGATGATGATGCTGCTGATGATGATGATGGTTGGTGATGACGATTATGACTATGACGGTGACGGTGGTCCTGGCGAAATGCTGCTGCTGATAATTACGAGGGGGAGCTGGATACTGACGTGCCGAGCAGGGACTGGATGATGAGGAGGAGAAATATTAGCATCTGGCTCATGAGGTGCCCGAGAAGGGTGATGACGTGGACTTGGGTGAGCCCAACACCATCACGCGCGCGTGATGTTGCAATGCACCTTCCCGTCCCAAGCCCCCTACTCATAAGTCATGCACGCACTCGTTACCTGTACGCCCAGCCCGTGCCGGAAAGGCGAGCGTTCATGGCCTGTATGAGGAGATCCCAACCTGGTCTGAATCCGTCAGCAAAGCCTTAAGAAGCAAAGCGGATGCCAGCTATCCATGTAGCTGGTGTTGCAGGGACGATGATGTTGCTGCTGATGCTGATGACGGTGATGATGTTGAGGAGGAGGAGGAGGAGGAGGAGGAGGAACAATCACATAATAATACGATTACGAATAATATTCATATTACTAATCATAAGAGGAGGAGGAGGAGGAGGAGGAGGAGGAGGAGGAGGAGGAGGAGGAGGAGGAGGAGGAGGAGGAGGGAAGGAGGAGGAGGGGCAGGAGGATGAGGATGGGGAGGAGGACGCGACGGAGGAGGAGGAGGAGGACCAGCAGCACCAGAGGGAGGAGGAAACGGAGAAGAGAGGGGTTGGAGCAGAGGAAGCGGAGAGGCATGAGGAAGATGTGTTGTTTTGGATCCGAGGCAGCAGATGCACGAACGAATCAGGAGGACAAGGGTGAAGGGGTAGGACATGGAGGAGGGGCAGATCCCTGAGGAGATGAGGGATCGGCGGAGGAGTGGGCGAGGAGGAGGAGGAGGGCGATGAGGAGGGGGAGGATGCGGAGAGAGGAGAGGAGGATGGCGCGGATGAGGAATATGAGAAGGAGGGGGAGGAAGCGGAAGACGGGGAGGAGGGTTCAGGAATACGACGACGAAGGTGTGATGGTGATGATGGTGGCGGTGAGTGTGATGCTCATTCTGGTGATTGAAGTTGTCATGGTGGTGATGATGATCGTGATGGTGATGGCCATCTTGATAATGATACTGGCTGTGATGGTTATGTTTGGCTGCGACAATGACTGTAATGGTGACGATACTGACGACGATGAAGACGACGATGACGATGAGAAGAGGAAGGATGACGATGAGGAGTCCGAATGGCTGGGGGGAGGTCCGATTCCCCCAGAAGCTTCCAGGGAATCCGAAACCCCAGAGGCTGGGGGGGAGGTTCGATTCCCCCTGAAACCCCAGAAGAAATGCAATGGCTTGTGAAGACCTCCCAAACCTCCTCTCTCATCCTTCTCCACTCCACATCTCTGCTCTTTTTCCTCCTTCGCCTCCTCCTTCTCCTCGTCCTCCTCCTCCTCCACCTCCTCCTCCTCCTCCTCCTCCTCCTCCTCGCGTGCGCCAATGTGCTTCGAAACGCTGCTCCAATCCAAGTGCAAGAAATGTGGATGGAGCTGTACACCTTCACCAGGCCCTCCGGGGCTCTGGAGGTCCCCTGAGGCCTCTGGAGACCCGAACGCGGCAAGCGACTTATGGAAAACTCGATCCTCGAGCCTCGATCCTCCACCCTTGACAATCTCTTACCCTTCTCGGTCCTCCTCGGCCCACTTCGGTCCTCCTCGGTCCTCCTCGGCCCTCCTCTCGACCCCCCTCAGACCTCCTCCTCGGTTCCCTCGGCCATCATTAGTCCTCCTCCTCCTCCTCCTCCTCCTCCTCCTCCTCCTCCTCCTCCTCCTCTTCCCATCATCAGTCCTCCTCGGTCCTCCTCGACCCTCGCCGAGCCTGTCCTCCTTGGAGGCGGGCCAACGTCGAGAGAACGCCGGCCCTCCCGCCCAGCCCCGACGTGAGTGCCAGCTCGGCCTCCGGACCCCCTCCCCCGGTGCTCCATCCAGGCCCGCTTCCAGACGCGGCTCCGGCCGGGGCGACGAGCCTCCGCGAGGCCGCACAGAGAAGATCGATCCTCCTCGAGCCTCGATCCTCCTCGACCCTTGCTCCTCGGCCCTCCTCGATCCTCGAGCCTCCTCTACTGTCCTCGGCCCTCCTCCCAGATCCCCGGCGTCGTGCCTTGTCGCAGCGGCGACGCCCGAAGGCCTCGACCCACCGGACCGTTCCCGGGGGACTGGCTCCGCGCCCCCCGTGAGCCGCTCTCTTCGTCGACGGCCTCCTCGGGGCCGAGGCGAGGGCCCCGGGGGCCGAAGACTGCGAGAAACTTCGGGACCCTCGGCCCTCGACCTTCGATCCTCCCTCGGCCCTCGATCCCCGACCCTCGATCCTCCCTTGGACCCTCGGCCCTCGATCCTCGATCCTTAAGCCTCGGAGCGTTGGAAGTCTGGATCTCCCCCTCGACCCTCGATCTCCTCGCTCCTCCTCGCTCCTCCACGCTCCTCGACCCTCCTCTGGATCCGACGTCGCGAGAAAGTCACAGCATCGGAAAAAACTCGACCGGGGCTCTGGAACCCATCGCTCTGGGCATTTTTCGAGCCGGATCGTGAGGGTCCCGGGGCCCGGCACACGGCAAACTCGCCCGTGTTGAAACAAATGCGACGCCAGGATCTCAGGGCTCCTCGATCCTCCACGATCCTCGACCCTGCCCCCTCGATACTCCTCGACTCTCCCCCCTCGATCCTCGATCCCCCTCGATCCTCCTCGATCCCCCTCGATCCCCCTCGATCCTCGATCCTCCTCGATCCTCGATCCTCCTCGAGCCTCGACTCTCGACTCCCCCCCCTTGAGCCGCCGAGGCGAACCACCTCTCCGAGTTCACGGGGATCCTGCGCGAGCTGCTGCCCGAGCTCTCGCCGCAGATGCCCTCGGGGCCCGACCCAGAGGAGTTTGCGCGGCTGGGGGAGGACCTCTGCGGCGCCTCGCGAGGGTCGGGGATCGGCGGGGGGGGGAGTCGAGGGTCGAGGATCGAGGAGGATCGAGGATCGAGGAGGACCGAGGAGGATCGAGGATCCAGGAGGGTCGAGGATCGAGGAGGGTCGAGGATCGAGGAGAATCGAGGATCGAGGAGGATCGAGGATCGAGGGGGATCGAGGGGGAATCGAGGATCGAGGGGGGAGTATCGAGGAGGATCCAGGGGGATCGAGGGGGGAGGGTGCAGGACCGAGGATCGAGGAGGATCGAGGATCGAGGGGGACCGAGGAGGATCGAGAGGGATCGAGGATCGAGGGGGGAGAGTCGAGGAGGATCGAGGGGGGAGGGTCGAGGATCGAGGAGGATCTAGGAGCCCTGCGATCCTGGCGTCGCATTTGTTCCGCACCGTGCGACCTTGCGCCTCGGTTCGGACCCCATCACGGATCGTTCTGGGCTGGGAGGATGCTGCAGAAAGATGGGATCCCGGGCTCCAGTCGAATTTGTTGTTCACTCGGGTCGAGCGCTCCTCGTCCTCCTCCCCAGCCTGCAATTCCCAACGCATTCGTTTTCCATGCGAGACAGCTGGCAAAGTTCCGTCTCGTCTCGTCCGTCTGCCGAAAAACATGATGCTGGGGGTCTTGGAGGAGGGTCGCGGATCCTTCTCCGTGTCTCTGCCCCCTCGCCCTTCTCCTTCTTTCCCTCGTCTTCTCGTTTGAAGTCCGCTCGCAGCGCCTCGTCTAACCAAATCTTTCGTCTCCTCGTCCTCTTTGTTCCCTCCTCCTCGTCCGTCTCGCCCTCTTTCTCTCCCTCCCCCTCCGACTCATCCTTCCCCTATCCCTGCATTTCTCGTCCTCCGCCACCTCCTCCCTCATCCGTTCCCATCCTCCTCATCCTTACTCTTCCTCCAGCTTCTCCCTGGTGCCCGTTTAAGGCTCACGCGCCTTGGAAGGAGGAATTTGTTGCAATGGGTGGGCCCGAAGGGAGGAAGCGCTCACGCTCTCCCAGACGGTTCAAGGTAGGCGACCGGGTCACCGTGGCCAAGAGTTTCCAGGGCCACAACCAGGACAAGCACGTCCAGCTGAGCCTTGGAGAGAGGGGGGTCGTGAAGGAGGTGGATGCCGACGGCGACATCAGGGTATTCTTCAAGGTCAGCCGATCGCAGTGGGTAGTATCTGGTGACCTGGGCTGCCTGACAGCGTCTGGGGGCAGCGATGCAAAGGAGAGCACCACGCAGGAGTGCGAGCCCGAGGCGCCCGCCGCAGCCGTGGAGGCACCCCCGGCCAAGAAGAAGGGCAAGGCCAAGAAGGGCAAGGAGCGGCGGCGCAAGGGGGGTGGGCCCCAAGGGAGGTGGCCCCGAGGCAGGGGGGACGACGACGACGACGAGGGGCAGGAGAAGGAGGAGGAGGAGGAGGAGGAGGACGACGACGAGGGGGAGGAGGAGGACGACGACGACGAGCCCCGAGGGGCAGGGAGGCCCCGAGGGAGGTGGCCTCGAGGGAGTGGGGCCTCAGGCAGTGGGATCTCAGCCTGGGACCCCCTCCTTTCGGCGGCGAGCCCCGGGGGTGAAGCGAGAAGGACGAGGCACCAGTTTCTCCCCGCTAGCTTTGGGCCCGCTTACAGGGCGCCCCAACGAGCCGTCGAGAGGACTCCTCCTCCTCCTCCTCCTCCTCCTCCTCCTCCTCCCCTCCTCCTCCTCCTTCTCCTCCTCCTCCTCCTGCTCCTCCTCTTCCTCCTCCTCCACGTCTGGCTCCTCCACATCCTCCTCCACGTCTGCTCCTCCACCTCCTCCTGCTCCTCCTCCTCTCCTTCCTGCCTCCTCCTCCTTCCTCCTGCTCCTCCTCCTCCTCCTCCTGCTCCTTCTCCTCCTCCTCCTCCTCCTCCTCCTCCTCCTCCTCCTCCTCCTCCTCCTCCTCCTCACTCCTCCCCTTTCGAACACTCCGGCGCATGCTGCGACCCTGAGACCCCCCCTGACTCCTGGTTGGAGGCGCCATGAAGCAGCACAGCACAGGTTGCGCCGGTGTCTGCAGAGCAGGCACCCCGAGCACGGGAGTGAGGATAGGACTGTTGCTCAGTGGCCCTTCTTGGGGCACCTGTGCGTAGCTGGCAGGGCTCCAACTTCTCTCCGGGAGATTTGGGCCCGTTGAAAGCTGGCCTCAGTGGCCAGGCCTCTGCTGGGTGGGGGGAAACGGCCTTCTTGGCTGCGGTTGCCTTCTACCGGCGGCGAGCCCCGGGGGGAAGTGAGAAGGGGCGGGCCTTCTCAGAAGGCTCGGAAGTCTCCCAGCCTTGAAGACGTTTCCCAAGCTTTCCCCGAGGACGCAGAGAACCTCTCAGATGGCGCGAGGGCTTCTGAGAAGTCCCGCCGCCTTCTGAGGAGCCCTCCTCTTTCTCATTTCCTCCTCCTCAACCTCGTAATCCTCCTCCTCCTCCTCCTCGTACTCCTCCTCCTCCTCCTCCCTCTCCTCCTCCTCCTCCTCCTCCTCCTCCTCCTCCTCCTCCTCCCTGTACTCCTCCTCCTCCTTCTCGTAATCCTCCTCCTCCTAGTAATAATAATATCCTCCTCCTCCTCCTCCTCCTCCTCCTCCTCCTCCTCCTCCTCCTCCTC